TCAAAATTCCGACAATTAAGCCTGATTGTGAGAACTTGTATTCCTCAGAATTTCAGCAATGAAGGCCGATAGTGGGAACCTGTATTTCTCATAATTCCAGCAATGAAGGCTGGTAGTAGAAACCTGTATTTATCATAATTCCAGCAATGAAGGACGGTGGTGGGAACTTTGTATTCCTCAGAAATTCAGCAATGAAGGCTTCTCGGAGAAAAATTTCTCTTGTCACTAAAGATTTTCTCTCCTTCCTTTTTTTTCACTAAAAAAGTTTTTTTTTTCTTTTTTTTTTTAATCTAATCGGCCGAGCCTTAAAAAAAAGGCTTAGCTTGGAGTAGGGCACGGGTTGCGGTTCCACCCCCCAAGTCACACGCGGGCTTGGCTTCCTCCCGCGAGTCACAGGCGTGGATCATCTGGGATATGCGATCGGAAGGGGGAATCGAGCCGACCTCGTCTGGGATGTGCGATCGGAAGGGGGGATCAAGCGGGCTGCTTTGCTCCTTCGTCGACTTTCCCTTTCTGTCGGATCGGGTACGACGCTCCTTCAGCTCTTATGTGGCTATTCGACTAGGCGCCTTCGTCTCGGATCGGAAGTCCCGATCGGAAGTTCCAATGCTTGGATCGGCTCCGTCGTTTCCTTCATTCGGCTTTGTCTCGTACGCGTACGTAGAGGTTTTCTTGGCCCGTCCCGTGGGTTTCGCTCGGCTTCGTCCGTCTGCGAGGCTTGAGCTTCTCCGCAGAAGATCGAAACTTCCAGCTTCAGCCTCAGGTTTCGGGGTTTAATGTTTGCGGAGCGGTCGGTCCGTCCAATCCCGTCCCGGATTGAAAGCTGAGGGCAGGCCGTATTCGTCCGGAACAGTAGGCAGCTTCGGGCGGTGTCTAGTTGTTCGACTCCGTCTGCTTGCGTTCGTCTGAGTCGGAGCAGGATCCGCAGCGTGTGGCAGCTCCAATTTATTCTTCTTCTTCTTTTCCTCCGAAGATTCTAGGATCATTCTTCAATGCCGTTGGCTCTGATATCATGTTAAAATTCATAGAATTTGAGAAGGGTAAAAATACCTTCTACTTATTATACAAAATTATCTCTATTTATAAATCTATACAAGATGTCTTAATAAAGAAATAAATAACTTCTAATTGATACATAATTGCCTCAATATAATCCTTCCTACTTCAGCTACCCAAATATAGAAGGATATTGGCGTGATCCAGGTGAGCCTCCCACGGATTCTCATTCTGACCGTGGTATCAAATGTCAATGGATGACTGAGATTTTGACAATCAGCATATCACAAAGGTTAAATGATAAAATGACTAAGAGAAGCACCTTCCAAACCAATATCAAGTAGCCCTTAATTGTCTATAAATAATTTAAATATAGAAAAAGACCTTTTCCCGCTTGAGAGCCTAGCCACATCTATGAGTAGTGACCAAGGAGAAATAACCAAAGCCCAAAAGCTCTCAAGTGTAATCATCTATGTAGTGCAAAGAAAACGTTTTGCCTTCTCCCCTAAAGTTATTATATCATTCATTCCTCTTTGTTATCTTTCGTTCTCACTTCTTCATGATCCCTAACCATCCAAAGTACCACTATTGGTCAAATAGTCAAATATAACTTGATAAGGCATTATAACTAACATCAGCATTAATGATGCAATCATTTTTATAATAAGCATGCTAACACAAAACTACTAGTTACAATTATAACATTTCTAAAAATTTCATCTTGATCATTATAAGCATTGAGGTTAATTAAATTAAAATGCAAAGAAGGCATCTGTAGTGCTTCAAATGTTATTGTTCTAGTTTAGAATCCAACAAAAACTATAATATTGTTAGGGTAAAATATGAAAAGGAGAGAGATCATTTCAAATATATGATATACTCCTATTTTCTAGAAAAAGAAAAAGAATAGAAATGACTATAATGATATAATCTATAATAATCTTCATTGTTTAAAATTACGCAATATGAGGCTCGCCTTGAGGCCCGCCTTAGCGCAATTCCAGTAAAAAATGCCTCGAAGCTTACGCCTTGAGCTTTTTCTATAAGGCTTACACCTCAGCTTGGATGAGGTTAAGGCGTGCCTCGCCTCGTTGGCATGAGGCGTACGCCTCACTCTATTTATGAATATTTTAAATTTAAAACTTACCTAAATTTTATATAAAAGCCCAAAAAAATCATACTTTCTTGCACCCCCAAGCCTCAGCAACTTCCTCTCAATTGTCTCGACCTCCAACCCACTACCTTCATCATAGCCATCACCATCGTAGTCGCTGCAGGAGATCATTAGAAAGCCGCATGCCACCACTATCTCCTCTTAAAATTTTGAAGTATTATATTTATGTTAGTGATAAACATTTATGAAAAATGAATATGACTGAAATAGATAAAGAAGAGAAGATTGAGAGTATTGGACCCTACAGGATAGACCGGGAAGAGACCAATTTGTTATAATAGTGACTCAAATAAAAATCCTCTTTGTAATGATAGTACAAATGATTTCTGAGTTGTTGTCAATTATTTCAGCTTTATATAGTAATTAAACGTAGATGAGTAGGCAACTAAGAAAGAAAAAAGTTAGAGTTGAACTTGATGTTATAGGAAACTTTTATGCAATTCATATATTTTATATTGTTTTGTTTATGTAATATTTAAATTTCAATTCTATTTCATATTATTTTTCATTTAACACTTTACATCTTATACAATTTTTTATTTCATATGTATGTAAATTTATTACTTCATAATTTAATAGAAAGTTAATATGTGATGCATTAACATATTATTTGAATATTATATAAAAAATTACTTTTGACTTTATGCAATTTTTAAATTTTGAGGCTTACGCCTTGCCTCACGAACGAAAAATGCCTCAATACCCAAGTGCACAATTTTAAACATTGATAATCTTAAAATTCCAATCAATTTTGAATTAGATTATTATGCATGGAATATTTAAAAGCAGAATCCATGAAAAATACCTATTATGTGTCTAATTATGACAATACTAGAAAAGCAAAGTTCACTGATAATGATTTAACTGACACACTATCCCACTTATATAGTTGATTCACATACTCGTTAAACAACTAATTAGATTTTTTGCATACTACAAACAATCATGATGTTAATAGAATCTTGTGATTGGTCACTTTTAGATTGAATAGATGCTCTATGCACTAATAACAAAGAAGCAAAAGATTAACACCTAATGAGAGGAATTTTCCCTTTAGATAACAACCATAAGAACCCAAGCAAGTTATTATGAGAGATGGCCAAATTCACTATACTGATTGCAACATTATGAGGCATGAACATGTTAGACCGCCGATCCATTATGGACCAGTTCAACGGGCCCTAGGCAAGGGGACGGCCATGGTTTACTCAATGCGGGCCAAGGGTCCGCCCAAGCTACAGTCGGCCCCTTTTGGGGGGCCTACTATTTGAAAATTGAAAATTGAGGGAAAGGAGGGGGCGACTAGGGAGGAATTAGAATTTCTTGGGTTGTTTTGTCCTTTTGCTTTAATTATTTGATTTGCTTTAAGTAGAAGAGGGGGGGGGGGGAATTAGGGTTAGGATTATCTTATCTTTTGTTAATTTTGGTTCATGATTGGTGCTCTTGGACTCTAACGGTGTCTAGAGAGTAGGGGGAGATAGATCCTCCTTTCGAATTGAGGATCAACTGCATCTTGATGTTTTCCTTTGGTTTCTCATCTAGTTTTGTTGTTCTCTTGGATTTGTTGGATTTTTATGATGAAATATTGTTCAAATACTAAAATTGATAAGTTTCACTTGAGTTCCACAAGTGTTTCCTATCAGTACATTACCCAACTCAAGAATAGTGGTTGTTGTTTTGTAGGGCATTGACAAAGACTCTAGAAGGCAATATAAGTACTAAGGATGAATTCCTATGGTTGATAATAAACTCATGGACTTCCAAGGAGGGCTCCTAATGGTTGAAAATCAACACTTAAGACTATCCAGTTGTACTCCAAAAAGCTATAAATTGGCTTTAAAAATTCTTGAGTGATCTAGGGTTCTTCACACAGTAGACCAAGTTAGCCTTAGTCTAGGCTGTTAGGTGAATTTGGAGGGTTTATCACATTTGGACTTGGCCTGAATACAAATTAAGATAAGCTACGTCGAAACTAATATTTTCTGATCAATGAAAGAGTCCACACAAAAATGGGGTCATTTCTTTCCAAACTTTACCAACGTTCGAGGTGCGCCTGAACTGGGGTGCACAAAAATCTCCTCAAAGCTTAAGACAATTATATTTTTTAGCTAGTCTTTTGAGAAATATACAAAAAATGACTAGTCCCTATTTAGAACAAATAATGCTAACCAAACAATCCTTATTGAAATTCATGCAAACTTGAATTAGAAAACAATTAAGTTCACTTATGTGCTTCTAGCCTATCATTGAACTCAAGGGGATCAACGTGTTGACCTACTATTGATTGTCGATTCTCCATCCTAGCCGCAACGAGATAGCCTTTTACAAAAAGAAAGATGAAATGACGTAGTCGAGCTAGTCCAATTTAACCTGATTGAGGACTAAATAGGGCAATTCAAGCTCATTTATGCTCTAACTTCAAATGTACAGTAACTTTTTTTCTACTTCTCTTAGCCCATACACAAGTTTGTTGGCTATGTTTGAGCTTGTTATAGCACTAGCACAATCAAACCAAGCTAAATCAACTGCCATTAAACATCTAGTACTTTTAAGATGCATAATGTGCTTTAAGGGTTTTAGGATTTCAAAAAAAAACTAATAGAATTATTTAATGTCAAAAATATCAGCAAAGTGTTTTCCTAGCCTCGGTTACATCATATTCTTTATCTTAAGACCTGGTTTTGCTTAATTTGCCATTACAAAAAATGGCATCTAATGGATAAAAATATGTTTGCTTGGATGAAATAACGGAATAGTACATGAGTACATGTTCTACAAGGCGTTTCCATTTTTGCCTCGGTCAAATAAGAAAGGTATAGGAAAGCATTACCTTTGATTACTTGACCGCTGCCAAGTTCAAACTCAAAAGGGTCACCTCTTTCATAACTGGAGTCGAATACACTCCCATCAACAAGCATCCCCTGCATAGAAAATTGTCCAAAGTTAGAAGATATAACAAAAACATGAGTTATGCTGGTTACTCTTGCTCTAGAATCTATTAAAATGCATAATTTGATGTAGTAAATAACGTGATATCTGAGAAAACATTGCGATCAAGGACTTCACCATAATAATGGAAAAAGAATATATGCATTTTCAATCAGTTTTTTTTTTTAATTATATCAAGTTAAAAGTGTCCTGTATATCAAATGCATCAGCAGATATAGCATTTGTACTTCCAAGTTTTTCTCATTTTTAACTTAAAAAGGCTACATTTCAAAATGCAGAACTAGTCCCTGTTGCAATTTTAATTGTAGCTTCTACTTTATAATACAACCTAAAAAATGGGGGAATTTGTATGCTGTTACATGGCGCCTAAATGCCAAGGTAAGAAAACCTGAAGAGTTTCACAGCCACTTTTTTACAACAATCTGCAACGGACTTTTTTAGAAATTAAGAATCAAAGGTCTGCATGGCCACTTACATGATAATGCACTTTAACTTTATCTCCTTTGTGAGCTTGAATGCTACAAGTCTCTGGTTTATACTGCAATCACAAAAGTTTAATCATTCTAACAGCAATAAATTCTATGAGCAAACAAGAACTTGCAATGTGCCAATTATGTTCCTATACACACATTAGCACCACATCTAAAAAATGAATAAAGACTGATTGTCATATTAGATTATTGCTTTTAGCCCTGCAAGAGATTTAATACACAATAACGTTGAATTAATAACGTCCATTTCTTCTCAAGCTTTTGTACCTATTTAGTCTTTCGTACGTGTGGGCTTTAAAAAATCAATACAATCATGGATATCTTATGTTTTGACTTCTACTTTCACAATCAAATATTCCACCATCACAAGCCTTTCCTTTAACATGTGCAGCCATTTCATTCTAAAGCTTCTTTCTAAGCCATTCCTAGACTCATCTGAAGCAAGCACTATTTTTGGGGCGGAGTAAAACTTTCTATTAGTTTACATTTCCTTTTCTTCTTCACCAGCCTACATAGGAAGGATCCTCCCCTTACTCATGTTGTAATTTTTTTTTTAAATGAAGTCAATTCATCTTAAGCACTCTCTTTTACCCAAAAAAAGAAATAAAAAATGAAATAAAATCATCATCATCATCATCATTATCCTTATGCCATCAATTTGGGGCCCATTTTCTGAATCAAAACATTCTCCATTAGTCCATACATGATGTTGCATGATGTGTTAAACCAATTTTATGCACATCCTATAGCACAATTCCTATCAAGTGACCTTCGATCTAACCTTTTCTGTCAAAATCCTATAATAATAATATAAGCCAATCGTATTGTTACATCTTATATTCTTCAACACTAAGTTATCTTCAATATATGCTACTCCAACTATTCCTCTAATATAATCATTTCTTAATTCATTTTTACAAAGTATGACAAACATCCATCTTAATTTCCCATTTTATTCATAATCAATTTATCCTTCACTGACTTTTTTAATTAAGCATCCAGCTTAAAGCAAAAAAAAAAAAAAAAATTCTAGTTCATTATTTTGTACGACTAAAACAACTCTAATCTAACTTCTTCACCACAAGAATCAGAAATACCAAACATTCTTTCACCTGCTACTTTGTGTAATTTTACATGGCACTGTAGGAATGTCACAACCCGGCACTACAACAACTCCAGCTCATCAATCAATGAATGATGTGATCTTACAGCTCACTGAACTCGCTTGTCAAAAGTGAGGCAACCACCGAGGCTTAGGGTGGTTGGTGGGCGAGCACGGTTGGGAACCCCCATCCCGGGTTCGTACTCCTCTACTACCACCTTGCCTCTTCAGTGGGGCAAAGTAAGTGTCGGCCCGATGCCGGTGGGTGGCCTCACTAGATTCCGCCGAGGGATTAATTACGCCGTCAAGCGCTCTCTTTGGAGTGGTAGCGGGTAGATATCCCGTTATCAAAAAAAAAGTGAGGCAAAACAGACTGGTTCATACATTAATTACTCCTTTTTTATTAACTTAAAATATATCTTCTGGCCCCCTTTATTTCCTTTTGAGTCTACCAACATATGGATTCTTAAAATCTAAGAAAACCAGAAAAGGCCTTTCAAAAATCAAAACAATTCATTCTAAGAAACAGAGTTAGTCTGCACTAAATTGATGTCATTTTAGTAACGCCTAAACTTGTCAGGCAACATTTTCATCAATTAATCTAAATAAAATGCGTTCCAATTTCTAACCTCGCAGAAAATTCTAACGGAACATGGATGAAAACAACATCTCATAATTAAATTGCAACAAATTTCTATGCATTCGCCCTCCACCAAACCCCTCTTCTACGATAAAGGATGAAGGAAACCAATAAATCAAAATCTCACCTTGACACCGATTTGCAGTTCCGTAACATCGCGGGATTTCTTAGCAGAAACTTCATGGAAGAAAATAAATCGAAAGCGGAGAAACAATCGATTAGTGAACAAAGAGATGAAAGTACAGAGAGAATCAAAGGAAGAATTAAAAAAGATTGAGGCGATACCAAATAGAAGTAAAACGGCGAAGAATGCAACGCAAATTAAAATCCTCCCCATCGCTCTCCTCTTGGCCGGCCCCGATCACTTGGTCTGGCTTTCGATCTTCTTACGCAGAATATGAATCCGGTATCGTCGAAGTGAACAAATCGAACAGTGCACAAAGAGCTGCAAGCTCCTGTTGCTATGGCTGTAAGAATTTTTTTTAATGATTTATTTTATCTTATTGATTTATATTTTTATAATTTATATATTTTAAAATTATTTTTATATATGATAGAAAAATATGTAACTTCAAATTTTTAGATAAAATTCAAATATATGAAAAAATAATAAAATATTTACATATTTATATATATTCTTGGATCGACCAATGGCTCGTTGGTCGATGGAACGTTTTTATCCCGCATGATCAGCATTCGATGCCCTTAACTCTCCAAAAATAAAATATATATGTATTTAGCATAACAAATATCTTATAAAATACTTGATATGTTTTTAAGCTTGTCCCAATCAAAATTTGGATAGATATTCTAATCCAATTTTTTTTCATTGCAAAAATATCAAATAAATATCTCGATATGTAGATTTAAAAATTTTCTTATTAATTTTTACACTTCATCAAACAATTTAAATAACATGTAATGAACATTGCAAATTTGTATTAAAATTTTAAACCTAATTATGTCTCATAATTGTATTATATATAATAGTCAATCGAGCGGGCTCATCATGGCCCCAACATTGATGCACTTTCTTTTGGTGTTTTTCCTCCTACTAAAAATGCTGAATTAGTCTCCCGTTCTTAGGAATTATTACCCGTTATTGAGTCAATTGCCGGTGGATTAATTGTTGGTCAAAAGACTTGATATTTCAAATGCTATTCTTCCTCCTTATTATGTTATTTCTAGTTTGGAGACTAACAAATTGAATGAATTGAATGTTGGCAACAATGATGGTATGGAAGGATCTGATGTGCGGTGTTTGAATGGTTTTCGTGACTCTACTGGTGACGATTTGCTCAGTTTTTTTTTTGGCTGATGTGGGTCAGTAGCTAAGGTTGTTTTTGCCTTCTATTACTTGTGTTTCTTTACTTTGTGGGATATTCTCTCAGTTTGGTTTCTACTTTTGGTTGTTTTTGTTGTTTGCTCTTATTTGTTATACAGGTATTGGGTCTTCGTTTCATGGAGCTTCATTTCATGTGCATCTTTGCTATGTGTGGCTGGAGGCTATTCTTTTGATTGGTTTCCTACACAAGCATTTTGTCTTCTGGTTGATATGATGTTAACCCTTTTGTGGTGTCTTGTTCTTATTTTTGTGTTTTGCTTTTTACTTTTTGTCTTTTCTTGTAATATATATAATTATTAGCTCGTAAGTTTTTTTCAAATGTTGTATTTTTAAAGAGCTAAAGGTTCTTTAAAGACTTGTAATTTTTCTTTTTTTATTAATGCAAAGGTCCCTCTGCAGGTTTTATGAAAAAAAAAAAGTTAATTAGGTTTGATTTAATCTTGATTTTGACTAGTATTGGATAAGAAAATTAAAAAGAAAGTTTGATTATGAGTTTTTTTGGGACAATTGTAGCTTTTAATAAAGTTGATTGTATAGTTGTTGTGAGAAAAATAACTTAGGCTTCGTTTCGGACGGCTTTTTTATTGCTTTCTAAAACGGAGTTTTAGTACAAAAATAAAAAAATTTGTACTAAAACTCCGTTTTAAAAAGCAGTAAAAAAGCCGTCCCAAACGAAGCCTTAGTGAATGGTTATAAAAAGCACCTTGCATCACAAAAAATTTTAATAAGTAGTGAAAAGATAACAAGAAAGCATCTGTCAAATGAAATGATGGTTGTTATTTGAAGAGCAGAGTAGTGATAAAACAATCCCAATATAACCAAATATTTGAAAACTTGGGCCCTTTAAAATTTTCCTCGAACTCAATAAAATAATAAATTAATTTTAAAAATGTGAGATTCAATTAATTTAGAGCCCTATTTATGGCCAACCAAAGGTTGAGGATTTGTTTGAGACAGATGATGTGTTTTATAAAGTTGATTGTGAAGTTATTGTGGAAAAAGCAACTTCACTATTATGATTGTAGATAGCAGCTTTCCAACACCAAAATTTTTGAAAATCAGCAAATAAATAGCAAGAAAATAGTAGCAGTATCAAAGTCACACGTGAGAAGTATGAGGGCGAGACAGTTAGCATGATCTTAAGGGTGAGTAGGGGTGTTAAAAAATGATCTGATATGTCAACACGACCCAAAAATTTCAGGCTTAGGTTGACTCGTATAATCAACAGGTTGGGTTCGGATTAGGAATTTCGAGCCATTAATTAAACGGCTCGATTTGGTATGACTCGCCAACCCAATTTTGATTAAAAATAACACATTTAAATTACTTTTTTCTCAAAAAAAAAAAAATTATTTGTTTGTATGATTGTCTTATTTTTTTTAATTAATCTATATTTTGTTGTTAAAAAGTTATAAAAAATTTAAAATCAAAATGGATTATCGAGTTGGTTTCGAGTCATTTGGGTTGCTAGCAAATCGGGTTCAGATCCGCATTTTTTACCTGTTTATTAAGGAGGTCTAGTTCCAATAGATCGGATTTAGGTCGGGTCAATTTTAGATCGGACCCAAACCAGACTCTTTGACCTGTTTTGATACCCATAAAGGTGAGTATGCACGTCAAGAGTTAAATGGTATAAATTTATTTATGTATTTCATTTTTTTCTTTTTTTAATCAATTTAAATTTTTTTTACATAAAGAAATGTTAGCATCCATGAGGCCTTACAGGGGATATAGTAAAATCAAGAGAGCTTAAAGAGTTTGTTCTAGTGAAATCAGGTAGGCGAGCAGGTAAAGCACCTGTAGAAGACCAATGAAATAAGCTTATTTTCACTCGTGCCATCCACATTTTTTGGTTAGTCGCTGTCATTCTCAGAGGAGACAAAGTAAAGACATCCCATGGGGTGAGTCTTAAGCAATATCTCACTATAGCTTAGGGGTGTAAGTGAGCCAAGCTGGTTGGCGAGCTGGCTCAAGCTCGCGAGCCGAGCTTAACGAGCCATGAGCTCAAGCTCGTTTATCAAACGAGCTCGAGTTCGAGCTTGACGAGGCTCAGCTTGTGAGCTAGTGAGCCGGCTCGAAACTATAATATTTAGGGTATTTTAAAGAAACTAATGGCAGCCGGCTTATAATATGATATTCAAACGTTGATTTTACTGTCAAATGCTTGCTTTTAATGTTAATTCATATAATTTCATTGCCTCGTTTCAAGTGACGGAAGCTTTATTATTAATGCAAAGTGTCCTTTCCAGGTTGTCATTATGACAACTTTTTAAGATGACAGCTATTTCCCAAAACACAACTCTCCTTGGCCTATTGGTTGAGAGCTTAGTCTTCCAACTAAGAGGTCCAAGGTTCGAGTCTATGTGTATGCGTTGTGTGTGTGAGTTTGCCTTAATTGGCCTAAATGTCCCAAAAAAAAAAAAAAAGCTATTTCCCAAAAAAAAAAAAGAAGATGACAGCCATTCATAGGTGGGAAAAAAAATAAAAACTCCATTTGGACGGATGCCAGGCGGAAAATTATGAAGTGGTAGGGAAAAATAAACAATCTGATGGATGAGAAATCGAGCGGCTCGCGAGCTGGCTCGAGCTCGTTTATAGTTTGATGAGCTCGAGTTCGAGCTCGTCTTATGAGATTGTCTCGAGCTCGAGTTCGAGCTCTTTTTCCGAGTAACCAGCTGAGCTCGATAATGCAAAAAATCGACTGGACTCGACTCGTTTACACCCATACTATAGATATTGGTTAATCATCTTCATCGATGTGGAAAGGCCAAAGAGTGGGAATACTTCAATGGTGCCATGGTGGTCATCGTATTCGTCACCAACAGCTGATAGACAGCATCCGCATCGATACAGGGAGTTCTGTCAATAAATTTTAAAATATGTTTATAATAAAATAACAAATTATGATCCTAACTCACATCATTGCAGGTTTTTTCTACGATTTCTCAAGTGAGAGGAAAGAGGTTAAAGGCATGGTTATCCTACATGTTGCATGGGGCTATAGCAAGAGTTAGTATACGATGATGGCCAACTTCATAGTGGTGTATACGCCTACCACTTATAATGTGATCTTTAAGTGACAACTCCTAAATACTTTCAGGATGGTCATCTCAACATCATGATGTGATCAAGTTTATGGTTGGAGATTAGGAAATCAGAGTCAGCGGGACTTAATACAATTGTTGAGAGTGAACTCTATGAGTAAGCTTGTCTTTCAATCCAGGGCATTGACTCCAAGCTCTTAAGGATAACCTCAACATGTTTGCTTGGATTGCAGCTAAAATATTGAGGATAAATATTAAAGTCGCCTACCATATAATAATGTAAGTATAAGGCTAGGCTTATCAATTAGAAGATAAGAAAGACTACAACCATTCTAGCCAAATCCATCAAGTAAGAGGTCCACAAAGATTCTACATGTAAACTTTATTAGGGAACTTTAATAACCTGACTAGATTTATATTATTATAATGGTTTAGAATATGAGTGGAAAATAGAGGATGTGTTTGGACTTCATGAACTTAACATTTCCAAATAACTAGAACTCACTTCTCATTATTTACTCATTGGCTAACTTGGTAGTTGGAATTCTAGTGATTTACTTTATTAATGTATTCCCAAGTTATCACTAATTAAGATGTATTTCAGTAATTGTGCGAATACATCTTTCATAATATGGGAAAGATAGTACTATTATAAGGTGGTGCCTTATGGCTTGAATAATATGAGGGAAACTTATCAATGCATGAAAATGTTTGTCACTCTAAAAGGTATAATATGTGACTCAATTCAATATAGTGTTTCTTCAAAGTAGACTCAGAGAAGTTCCTAAGTTTCCTCCTCACCTTAGAAGGGATGATGAACCCTGACAAAGTGAAGGTGATATTGGAGATGTCATTGCCCATGACCTCCTGAGATGTGCAGTGACTCATTAGGTAAGTCAGTGAACTCAACTACTTCATTTTCAATTAAAGAAAATGGTGCTCACCCTTTTTCAAAATCCCAAGGAATGCTAGGCATTTTACATGGAACAAGAAGTGTGAGGTAACTTTCCAACAGCTTAAACTTCTCTTATATTTTCCCTCGTTTTCATAAAGCCTATAACTAGGAGTCGACAATGACGTTATTAGCTCCGTTATAGTCTAAGAAGGAGAAAAGTAATAGTCAGTCTACTTTGTAAGTGAGATGTTAAAGGGGTACCAAACTAAGGTACTTAATAATTAAAAAAATTGCATGGGTTCTTATAATCTAAGCTCAATGATTCTGACTTTTCTTTTATGCTCACTTAATCATAATCATCATTTATCAATCGCTCAAATATTTACTTGCCAAGCTAAATCATTTGAGTAGGCCACTTAAATGGTTAGTGGGGTAGAGTAAATTCCAAATTACTTACACATTGTGGATTGTCATCTATGCTTAAGCACTCACCAACCTCCTTTTAGACTTCTTTACCCAAGCTCAAGAAGGGAGGTGGTGAGTGAAGAGGATTAGATTTGAATGTTATATATGTATGGGGTATCAAGTAACCATGGCATAGGCACCAATACAGTCTTAAAAAGCCCAACATGAATAATCCTAACATAAGCTGCTCATACAAAATTATATGAAACCAACAATTAGGTTGAGTATGCAGATCTAGTTGTAGGATTGAATTTTATAGTTAGAGTATGCACCAAGAATTAGTGATTTATTCTAATTTAAAATTAGTTATTAACTAAATAAATAATGAGTTTAAAGTGCATGATGAGTGTAAGGATCAATGCCACAGTAATGAGTTACATGTAATGACCTAAGCTGATCTGGTAAGGTTGGCATGTTTAAAACTCTACATTTTCTAAAATTCTATGAATGTCTCTATGTTATTTTTTATTTCAAAATTTTTGCAGGGGTTTAGTGGGTTTGAATCCAAATGAAAAAATTTCGTGTATAGAAAAGTACCTTGGGAGTACTATAGCTCTGTAGCGCTAAGCTCTATGCATTCTGGTAAAATAAGGAGATTTATGGTGAGTAATGTACCGCGGGGTTCTAGGCACTACAACGTTGTTCTCTTTGTGTTGGAGCGTTGCAGTACTAACCTTCATGCATTGCAGTGCTAACCTTCATGTATTATGAATTGAGTTTAGAGTTTCTTGGGAGCGTTGCAGTGCTTGGCTTTTGGGTGTCGCGGCGTTTTGTTCTGAATTTTTATATAAATATTAAATTCCATTAAAAATATATATACTTTTTCCACCATTGATTAGCCTAGCTATTAGTAAGATGAGGATTTTAGAGAGAATATTTATATTTTAGAGGTCTTCTGACTATTTTCATCCATTGAACCAATTGTTAAAATTATTCAGATTGAGATATGTTACATTTATCATACCTTTATTTTTAATAATGCAGTTTTTTACAAGTGTGATAGCTTTTTAATTGAACAAACGACATAAAATTTTGAGATAACTTGATATATAGGAAGTTTTCTCATGTAATTTTTTATTTGTTGTTATTATACTTATTATACAAATTTTGACATATTAATTCTCAATTTTTATCGGGTATTTCTAATTGTACAAAGTATTGAGTATTTTGATGTATGTATAGATTCTAATAAAAGTTATTATAGAAGGATAAAAGCTTTGAAATTATATCGTGAACATTATATGTGAATAATTTCTTGATTGGTAACTATTGAAGTGTATGTATAAATTTATCCAAAATTTTGATTACTCCATTATAAACGTGAAATTATATATATTTATGTGAGGTATCTGGTTCTATTTATAGAAACTGAATGTGTTGAAGTTTTTTGATTGTATGATTGAAATTGTGTGAAAGAATGAACTGCTAGTGGTTGTTTGTTAATGCTCATATGCACCCAAATAGAGGTATAAGAGCCCAATACTAAATGAATGAATAATGTTATGCACTATGAGTCATAATGGACTGATAATGTTATGATATACACTATAAATTATGAGGGTCTGATACTGATGTGTTGTGCATAAGGAGTTATAATGGGTTAATTTTGTATCTATAAAATATTTAAGAGATATAATGTCCTACGAGAAGACTGATGTGATGCTATTGGAGACTGATGTGATGTACTTATTTTTGTTATTTATGAATGTGTGTTATTTCTATTTTGTGATTGAATTATTATGTTGACATTAAACTGAAATATAGATAAACATCTGATGGTTTGGGACACTATAGTAAGTAACACAATTATGAAACTTGCACTTAAGAATTTGGATAGGTTCCATGTAGCCTACTGAGCTATAATTTGCTCATACTTGCTCTTTTTATATGTGTTAATTTCAAGTTAGGAAAAAGAAAAGGGACACGTTGAGTAGATATAGGTCATAGATTTCAAGTGTTAGGTATGTCCTTATGTAATTAGATTCTCTTGGCAATCATGGTGTTTATGATGCTTATTTATTGTGATTGTTGCATATAGACATTTTGACAGTATAACTTTCTAGAGATGAATGAAAAATATTAATGAGTTATTTTTTGCATTTTAATTTGATGTTTATTGGTGTTGTATTTCTGTTGATAAACAAAATGAAAAAAACTCTTTCCAAATAAATCTTATGAACTATCTTGTAGTGATCCAACATGATGTGACCTATTATATATACATGTTATATCATGTTAGGTCATAATAACGAGACCTTACTGAAATATCTTTTAAAAATGCAAATATGAACCATTCTAAGTACTTTAAAATGATACAAATTCCTGATAAGTAGAATCAACTCATGGACATGTTATCTAAGATGGGTAATCCTGATGGGTGGTTATATAGGTGGAAGAAAAACCATTGGCAAGTTAATTAGGTAGGCCCTTACATTAAATATATGAAGATGGGTAGTGTCCTAGTTGAGGTAGCAGATCCAAGGAGGTTCAAAATTAAGGCCGCTTAGTGAGTTGATTAGAAGATCAATAACTTCCTTGAACTTGAGAAGTATAAAGGCAAATGAAGTAGAGAAGGTACACAAGGAAGTGTACTTAGGCATATGTAGGAGCCATTCATGAGGAAGGACATTCACTTATAGAATTCTCAAGCAAGGGTACTTTTGGCCAACCCTTTGAAAAATTTAGAGATGTCTTCAAGAATATGAGTCTAGTGGTAAAAATTCTCTATAATGTAATTGCATCCTTTGCACAAGTTTCAACCGATCACTAAGCCTTGTTCATTCATTATTTGGGCAATATATTTCATTGGTCCATTTCCACCTCTTAGTAGGTAGATAAAGTTTTTCCTAGTGATGATCAACTACTTTTTTAAATGATTGAAGTAAAGGCAATGGATAAAATGAGAATAAGATTATATTGTTGTCCACCTAGACTTGCTGTTTGAGCCAACAATTATATGTTACTCTTTCATATAATTGTTAAGATATCACCTCCATGGAAATTATCTATTTCCAATAGAATCAATTTTAACTCAAAATTTAAAATTTAGTGCTGCTTATCATAATCGACATGTTCTCAATTAAAAGGCTATATTTATATTATGGGTGCTCTTGTGTATACTATATGGCTTAAAAAATTGATAGACTGCTTGGAGCCAAAACTTCTTATCTAAATATCATTTTACATAATTAATTTCACATTTATCATTAAAATTAAAAGATGAAAATGAAATGAAAATGTCACACCATGGATCCGAATGGGGGTACACCCTAGTAACATGGGATGCAATGAAGGAATATAAATGCATGTTTTGTACTCTCAAAACAAAGTGCATGAATAAGTAATATAACATAATATATCAAAGTAAATAATGGGAGAGAAACAAAATTTTTATTTCATTAATATTGGTTCCAAATACTAGTGTACCAACATAATAGGACTATTACAAGCAAAGAAAATACAAAAGGAACAATAATAAGAAAGAAACTACCTAAACCACAAAATAAAATACATAATAATCTAATGTAAAATATAAAAATACCAAATATACTCTACCATTGATAGGTTTTCTCCTGTGGCGATGGTCTACTAAGCACTCTGACAAGACCTAATATAAAAAGAGACATTAGCGAGTGAGTTTGATAACTCAAACCTATTAAGAAACTCATATCTATTAAAGCATAAACGGTAAAGAAATGAGACACGTAATATAACCAAATTCATAGATAGGATATAAAGCAATAATCAATGTATTGCAACAATATCACATAATGATTCCTACAATGGTTCTAATATGTTACTATTACAAATGTGCATGTGAACTAGTAACTAATGCAATGTCAATCAAATTTATGCACATACAATGTTGTTGGATATCATCATACCTCTATATAACCTATTAATGATTTAGTGCTTCACTCATGTCTGAATATATATCTATATATTTATATGTATATAACTATAGTCAGTTTTATCAAACATCGTGCATTGTCCAATTAAATCGAATTTACATGAACAAATAAATATAAAACATACAAGTTTAACTTAATCCAATCCACCAAAACATACTAATCACTATTGTTGATAACTTCAATCGATGAGAAAAAGGACGAAGAGAGAACCTTGTTATTTTCTAATTTCTAAATCATAATATGAAAAACAATGAAGTAGAGGAGTGAAGAAATACAAGACTTACAAAAGAGGAGTTATCTTTTGATGTCAGTGTTCAACAAAAAAGAGAAGAAAAGTTGAGAATTTTCTATGTCGATAGCTATGAGAAGTAAAAAAGCGTCTAACAACTATGAGAGATGATATAAAGATTTGGTGGCTATAGAGAGAAGGGAGAAGGGGAATAATGCAATGCTTATAATATTGGTTTATTCTTTTTTTAATAACTTTTTGTAAACAATGTGATGGGTTCTATTTTTTCTATTTTTTGTTAGTGATATTGCCTATTCTTATTTAAGAAATATTTTTCTTGTTTTTGCCATAATTATTGAGTCCAAAGAGAAGCCAATTTTGATTTCTTCAATGACTTCAACGAGCTATTAATTCCAATTGCATTTGCTTTTAATACTTTTGTATTTATTAATCCATGGACTTTGTATGGATATGAATTATGGACCATTTCATCATCATCTCTGTCAGCCCCGTTGTTAAATACCCATAAAGGTCCCATCTTTGTAGCAGTGCTTCTCAAACAGTCCAAGGCGTCGGTTTGATAACCGGAGCGACGTACAAGAACGAAAGATGGCCGGAGCGGTGGAACTGGACAAGGCGGTGGCCGCAGAAGGAGAGGTAAAGACTTGCTGCGCTCAGGAAGTGAAGGGGCCGGGCTATGCCTCACCGCTTGATGCCATGAAAGGGCCTCGCGAGGCCTTGATCTACGTTACCTGTGTCTATAATGGTGAACTAGCTTGCAATCTCTCTTTCTTTCTCGTTCTGCTCAGTTTTTAGTTGGCTACTTTAGAGAACATTTGGATTAGATATTTTTATCCTCGTTTGTGGCGGTAATGTTTGATTCGAGCTGCATGACGGGGGATCGGAATATTTCCGATCAAAGCGAATGAAGGAAAAGGAAGAGGGCTTGAATTTGAATCACGAGCTATTGCGGTGATCTTCAATGTGGTCATTTTTATTCCTCTTGCTTCACAGAGGGTCATTTCAATTTGAATCTGTAAAAGTATTTATTGGTTGGGCCTTGAGAATCAACCTTTAATTCTTCATTTTTCTTATAGAAATTGAAGGTAACTCCTTGTTAGGTAGGTTCTATCTTTTGCTAAGTTGTTCTCTATTGTGTTCTATTGTGGCTTTTTGTTAAGGGCTAGTTTGTTTGATGAAACCAATATTTCCATTTGTTCTACTACTCTGACACTAATGTGAGTTAGCTAAGTGACCAAATATTACTTGGATTATAAAATTCATATAAAATTAAGGTAATATATTAATAATTTATATTTAGTTAAATAGCTATAATAATGTACTGCTAATTAGCATGTTTAATGTTAACTAGTAATTAATGCTTATCCTTATTAATTGGGCTAGTTCCATCATTATTAATTAATGATTTACTAATCATGTTAATTAGTTAATATATCAAGGGTTACGCAGCTCACCATAGTCTGTTGTTTGAAAGCTTTGGCTACCAACCAAGAGGTCTTGGGCTCGAGTCTTGCGTATGTGATGTGTGTGTGAGTTTGTCTTGGGCTCCTCAAACCTTCACACAAGTAAAATAATTTTTTGATGCTCTCATTGTAAATATGCTTCCCATGCTTTATTGGCATTAAGATGTCTTCTACTTTTAGCAAGAAGCTGGATTTCATGTTACTTGATGAGGAATTTGAAATTTGTTGTGCTAGAATAAGTTTTTGAGTTTTCAGTAGTTGTTAAATTTTCATTTGGCTAACCTCGTATGGAGGATTCGTGGAAGTTTTCTTGGATTTTATTCCATCTTGACATTTTTTCATTGGGGATTTTGGTTGCACATTTTATGTTTGTATGATTTTTGGTAGGAAGACTATATCAAATTTTGGTATAGACTTCTACAATCAAATTTTATCAAATCTTATTGTGTTTTTGTTTTTTTCTGTGAAAAATTTAAAATGAACTCCTTATTTTAATGTGAAGCATGCAACTCTATTACTCATGTGTGCATTCTTTCCCTCAAATCAAAGTCAAACTTATATATTAGTAATACTATTTGGGAATCCTCTAAAGGTAGACATTACTACGGCTAGCTTGTCATGTCCTTCAATTACTTGAGTATTAATGGTTAAGGATGGTATTGAAACTTATGAGTCTATTCAATATCAGCTCGCTTGCTTAACAAATGAATCGAACAGAAGCTTCTTAGTGAGCTCAACATGAGCTATTAGCAAATGAAAAGCTTTTTTTTTACTTGCTTAACTCGGCAGTTTTCTTAAACCTTTACATACAACTTTGGTACCCACCTGTCATTTGGCACACTCGCCTGTGTTTCACTGATTTGGTTGCTTCGTTGATGGAATCTTGTTTTGTAAAGTGATATACCATTTCATTCATTTTATTTGTGAATTTAAAATCATTATATTTGAGGGAATTTTAAGAGGGTTTTTGATCTTAAACTCAATGTTGATTTTCAGCTACACTGGACCAAAGGGACTAGCAAATTTCATTGTTTTCAAAAATATGTTCTTGAATTTCTAGCAATCAAATGGGGCCTCATATCAGATTAGCTTTGAGTTCAACTTGAAAATTAAGGGATTTTTATGCCAATAAAGCTAGTGATTGTTATTTTCTGTTAGTAAAACTTATTGGAATTCTTATATTCATATTCCATGAGAAATGTTAATATTTCATAATTCAATAAATTATTTAATATCATGCAAGATGAACGCACTGTAACCTGATAAAGGCATGGAAGCTTTGCTTATTCTAAGATTGCCAATTTGTGCAGACTTTTGGTAGCAGAGCCAGTTCTATTGGATGATAAGTATTGACTAGACCCAATGATTATTCTTGACCAATCAAAAATAAGATATTTTCTTAGATTCTCTTCTATTTCTTATTCTATGTTTCATTTTTAAACTCATCTACTTGATTTAAAAAATGCTGATAATCTTGTTTTCTTTCTTGCATTGGAGATAAATTTGGATGTTATCAGAATTCGTTAAAGCACTCATAAGGTTGTTTTCACTTGTTTTGGAGAAGGCTTGGGTCATGTGGATTATTAGGTTGGTTATGGATTAAATGTGCTAATTTCGGGTTAATCGGGTTTTGATGAAGATCATTTGATCTGTTTAGTTATTTAATTAGGCTAATTATGAGTTATTAAGACCATTAAGATTTTATTTAGTGCTTAAACATGATAAATAGGCTTAGTATAATTAATTTATCGAATAGTTGACTAGAGTAATTGATAATTGAACATTTACCTAGCTGATTAGGATTATTACAATTTTAGTAAGATTGCTAAGGTTTTATTAGTGTTTATTTATGCTATTTAAAGCTTGGGATTAATAACCTAATTAATTATATAAAGTAATTTATAATTAACTATTGTTTAGACTAATTTTAAACTTTATGATTTTGATTAAGATTATTATTTTTATTTAGTATTGATATGACATTCTATCATGCTTTACTGTTTCTTTGGTCTTTTATATTAGCATATATTCTACCTAGGAGTGATGTATTGTGATGTTCTCACAAGCTCATCTATTAAGCAATTGTATGTGATTCAGGAATTCATGAAAAGGGCAAGCCTGATTACTTAGCAACAGTGGATGTTGATCCTAACTCACCAACCTATTTGCAAATCATCCATAGACTTCCGGCCCCATATGTTGGTGATGAGCTGCATCACTCGGGCTGGAATGCTTGCAGCTCCTGCCATGGTGATCCATCAACTGACCGGCGTTATTTAATCTTGCCTTCATTGCTGTAAGTACAAAGTTGTGCGCTTTAGGCTTCGTTTGGGAAGACTTTTTTGTTGCTTCTTAAAATAGCTTTCTAGTATAAAATTTTTAATTTTTGCACTTAAAAGCTGCGTTAAGAAGCAACAAAAAAAAACGGTCCAAACGAAGCCTTAGGTTTGGTTTGGGACGGCTTTTTTATTGCTTTTTAAAACGGAGTTTTAGTACAAAATTTTTTATTTTTGTACTAAAACTCCGTTTTAGAAAGCAATAAAAAAACCGTCCCACGAAACCTTAGTTTTCTTTTCTCTCTTACAAAGTCATTCCTCAATTGTTTCAGATTTGTGACCACTCATCTCAGCTTATTCTTCTGTAATATATTTCTTGACTCTTGATCATGTGCTGTCAGATCTGGTCGCATTTATGTTATTGATACTGCAACAGATCCAAAGGCTCCCGCAGTACATAGGGTAGTTGAGCCTGAGGATATTGTGCGGGAAACTGGACTGGCATATCCTCACACCTCTCATTGCCTTGCATCTGGTGACATTTTGGTGTCTTGCCTTGGTGACAAAGATGGCAATGCAGCTGGGAGTGGCTTTCTCCTATTGGATTCTGATTTCAATATCAAAGGAAGGTGATGATGTTTCCTTACATGATCTTTTCTATGTTGTTTATGTATTAGATTTAACTTATGTTAAGAAAGGTAGAGGTAGTCCGAAAAAGGCTTGGTTCGAAAATATTAGAAATGATTTTTCTTTATTAGATTTAAATGAGAATTTGAATTTTAATAGGACACAATGGAGAAAAAAGATTCATGTAGCCGACCCCACAGTGGGACGAAGGCTTGATGTTGTTGTTGTCGTCATCATCATCTAAATAATTTGTATAATTTATATTTCGATATCAACTTATTGTTTGTTTGTTTTAGCTTCTCCTTTTCATAAAGAAGTATGAGAAGATTTCAGTAAGCTTTATGATGCAGATCCTAAACTTTGCTCAATAGTAGCTTTTTCATAGCAGATTTTTCGAAAAGAAACACAAGCTTTTTTTACCCAAACAAATACCCAACCTAATGAGCCGTTAAACTTTATGGCTAGATCCATATTCAAAGTTCTCTTCTAAATTCTGTCTTTAATTATAAATGCATATTATCCCATTTTGACTGAAAGTTGCTAACCAGGTGGGAGAAACCAGGTCATAGCCCATTATTCGGATATGATTACTGGTATCAACCTCGACACAATACAATGATCAGTACATCATGGGGAGCCCCTTCAGCCTTTAGTAAAGGATTTAACCTTGACCATGTTGCCAATGGACTTTACGGGAGGCATCTCCATGTTTACAACTGGTCTGATGGTGAACTGAAGCAGACTTTGGACCTTGGTGATACTGGGCTCCTACCATTAGAAGTAAGTACAGAGTTTGATATTTCAATAGAGATTAGATGCTTCACAAATTTTACCTGCTCAAAGTGTGATTTAACTTTTCCAGATTAGGTTCTTACACGACCCGTCCAAAGACACCGGCTTTGTCGGGTGTGCTCTGACCAGTAACATGGTCAGGTTCTTCAAGACTACAGATGGATCATGGAGTCATGAGGTGAATCTATCCATTCTGATCGATTACAGTATCCCCTTGTTTAAGAAGTTTTGGACAATTGTGGCTCTATATTTAACAATATTTTGTTTCATAGGTGGTAATATCGGTGGAACCACTTAAGGTGAAGAACTGGATTCTTCCGGAGATGCCTGGGCTCATAACAGATTTCCTGATTTCATTAGATGACAGATATCTGTACTTTGTCAACTGGTTGCATGGGGATATCAGGCAATATAACATTGAAGATCCTAGAAAGCCTGTGCTCACCGGGCAGTTGTGGGTAGGAGGATTGATTCAGAAAGGAAGTGATATAGTTTACATTGCAGAGGATGGAGCCCAAGCGCAATTCGAGGTGCCTGAGCTTAAGGTTGGCAGCACAATCCCGACCTATGGTTGTTTTCATATAGCATTCTGTTTAAACCAGTTGCCTTCGTAAGATCATCTCCAACCGAATTGTATACCATTGTATGTATTGATCGAATCGCTGCATTCGAACTTCAAATATCATGCCAAAAATCAGTAGGTGAATAGTGGGATGTCAATATTAGCGTCGGACTATTCACCTACGTCAAAAGAAGTGATTATCTTGGCACTCTGCTTAGCTTCACAGGAAATGCGCGAAACAGGAGAGAGATGATTACCTTAGCAAAGAAGTGCGTGAAAAAAGAAAAATGGAGTTTCATTGGAGTTGAATTATCGCATTTTGAAGTTTTATGACATTTTAGAGTGGAAAATGGGGTTTTCGGTTGGAGATGCCCTAATTAAACTTTCTAAAGCTATTACATATATTATCAACACCAACATCGAGCCTTTATTCCATTATGTGGGGTTGGCTACATGAATCCTTTTTCTCTATTATGCTATATTAAAAGTCAAATTCTCATTTAAATCTAATAAAGAAAGAAAGAAAGTTAAGCTAATCTTAATTTTAGTCGTAATGAATTTCATTTGAATCTATTTTGAGATGATTGTAATAAATTGGTAATTAATAATCTCTAAATAGATCTAAGAAATTTAAAGAGCCATCCTAATCATTATTTAGTCAACATATCCTAATTCAAAATATTTTACTCTTATCATTTGATGCATGAATAGGCATTCTTGTTGTTTGAAGGATGGCAAGTTTCAATGATCAAATGAAACCTTAGTTGATTTAGCTGCATTCATAATCGCACTTTTGTATTCCTGGCTTGGATTCAGCTCCATGGCTGTTCTGTTTGGTGAAAACTTGAAGTTAAGATGTTTAAATATACTTTTTCAACAAACCAAGCTGTTACTTTTGTTCCTTTTGTCTCTCTGTACAGAAACAAAACTCATCAAGCTCCTAGATAAAAGCTGATAGTCCTCTTGTTCTTGCTTTCACCAGGGAAACCGGCTCCGAGGAGGCCCCCAAATGATCCAGCTGAGCCTCGATGGAAAGAGACTGTATGCGACGAACTCCCTCTTCAGTGTGTGGGACAAGCAATTCTACCCTGAGATTGTGCAAAAAGGCGCCCACATGATTCAAATCGACGTCGACACCGAGAAGGGAGGGCTGAAGCTGAATCCGAACTTCTTCGTCGACTTTGGACTTGAACCGGACGGCCCCTCGCTCGCCCATGAGATGAGATACCCAGGAGGGGACTGCACTTCTGATATCTGGATATAGCTACAGTGCTTTTCTGCAGAGAGAATAATGGAAGCTTATGTTGTAGAATAATTCAAGCTGGAGAAGGAGACTGTTGTGAACTCGTATGTTGATTTAATAAGGCTCTTACTTTTTTGCTGTATGGTTTTAAACGAGTAATCTGTCAGTTTTCTGCAACAAAAGCCTGATGATCAATAGCAGGAACTTTTATTCTATCCAGTGAACGTACGCAGAGGAAGGTTCGGTTTTAGGCAAAAAAATGCCTGTACCGAGTTTTTTCACGAAAAAACTCGGTACAGGCGCTTTTTTGCCTAAAACCGAACCTTCCTCTGCGTACGTTCACTGGATAGAATAAAAGTTCCAATAGCAGAGTATTCTTTTCTTTTCGTGTTGTAGAATATTGTCTTCTTTAGGGGTGTCAATATTGGACCCGACCCGAAAATTTCAGGTTTGGGTTGATCCGAACTTGAAACGGGTCGGGGTTGGGTTCAACAATTCAACTTGTTTCAAAAATTGGGTCGGGTTCGGGTTAACCCTTTGACCCAAAATTGACCCGTTTTTACTTGAAAATCCGTTATGACCCAGCAACCCAAGATTGACCCATTTTTTACCCGAAAGCGTAGATTGACCCGTTTTTGGACTCGAAAACTAGCAGTTTTTTTGTTGGCATCAGGTCATTCGGGTCGGGTCGGGTTGACCCGAACTCAAACTGGGTCAAGTTCGGGTCCCGAAAAATGACCCGTTTGCAAAAATGGGTCGGGTTTGGGTTGACCCGAATAGTGCCGAGTCAATTTCAGATTCGACTCGAATCCGACCCGTGACCCGAAATTGACACCCCTAGTGTTCTTAGCTCCTTCAAACGTACAGTTCGTGATAATTTGGTTATTTTGATAAGCTTTTTAAGAATTCAGGATGATAGGTAAAAGAGTAATGGAGAGAGAGAGAGAGAGAGAGAGAGAGAGAGAGAGAGACTCATGGGTGAGGTTCAAGGCTAATAGCTGGTCAAGATTATTCAGTTGGAGCCACATGAATAGCTATGGATACTTCGGCTTTGTTTGTTACAGTTTTTTTCATGCTTTTTAAAATAGCTTTTTAGTGCAAAAATTTAAAAAATTATACTAAAAAGTTATTTTAAGAAGCAATAAAAAAGCTGTCCCAAACAAAACCTTCAAGTGCGTGATCTTAACGAGTATATCAGCTATAACTCACATTGTATCATGATCTTTTTCAATCTAGGTAAGCTAATTACAAAGTCCATAGTAATCTTGCCCTCTTCCACTTCGAAATAGGAGGAGATAGAAACAAAGAACCAATTCTTCGATCTTCCACCTTGAACATTTGATAAGTTAAACACTCAGCTGCAAATTCTATCACATTACTCTTCATGAACTATATTCTGCTGAACTCCAACATCATCTAAAATAAATGATTGATCTTTAATTCTCAATGTACGTGACTGATCAATGCTGATTTTGGGTTTTAATCCATTATGAACTTACTCCCTAAGTTTTATCCGAACAATTTTCGTTGTCTAAGCTTCATGAATTCGTTCAATAAACATTAGCTGAATAATCATATTATATATATAATAGAATTACCTTCTAAAAGTACTATCTCAAAACGAATTCGCTCCTTATGGAGTACTAACTATTCGAAACTATAGATTTCCCTCACACAAATTGTGAGCTGGCTCGAGCTCGATTCGATAACGAGCTAGCGAGCTAAGCTTATCGAGCCACGAGCTCGAGCTTGTTCATTAAGCGAGCTTGAGTTCGAGCTGGTTGAGGCTCGGCTCGTGAACTGGCGAGCCATCTCAAAATTAATTAATTAAACTATTTTAATTAAATTAATTAGCAAATGGATTTTTATTTAAAAAAAAAATGGTTTCGTCTCTCCATTAATTATATGGCAGCCTATATGACAGGTTCTAAAAAAATAAGTAAAAAATATTTCTCTTTAGCTTATATGACAGCTTATATGACACATACTATTCTTTGCTAGTTATTTATGGTGTTTTCATTAATGCAAGCTATCTAATTTTGAAATATCGGACGGACACAGGTGCCAAAATGAGAAAGTGGGCGGTAAGATGGGACAAATGTGAAACTTGGCATGAAATCGAGCGGTTTGCGAGCCGGCTTGAACTCGTTTATAGTGGGACGAGCTCTAGTTCAAGCTCGTCTTTTGTGCTCGACTCGAGATCGAGTTTGCTTTCCGACTGACGACCAGAACTCAATAGTGCTAAAATTCGTCTCGACTTGACTCGTTTACACCCCTACTTATAATCAACACATATTTGACAACCCCAACTTCCTTTTAACCAATAAGTTTTAACCCTAGCTTCATCTCATTAGCCCTAGCCAATAGCCACTCATCATCAACCCTAGATTCTATTGGTTAATAGGAAGCTAATAAAAAGAACAATTCAATAAAGATTTGGTGAGTTGAGAGACATATTTAAACACCTAAAAAACTTTTGAATAACATGAATGCATATTAAAAATACAAAGGGTCATTTTGATCCTTTACTTATAATTTAATTAGTTTATAAAATAATTATCTCTCTTTCTCTCTTGTTGTAATTAGTTTTAATTAGCTAGTTTGTAACTCTCTCTCTCTCTCATAATTCTCTATTAAGAAGTGCAATTAAAGAATAAAAAAAGAAAGAGGTAAAATAGAATTATAAGAGAAAAAAAAAGGAGAGAAATCAAAAGAAACGAAGGAAGCTATCATCAAAATAAAATTTGAAATTGTAGTTATACTTATAATCAATCTATATCTATTTCATAAACTTCTGCATTCCCTTCTAACAATCACCATATCTTTTCTCTAATCATCGAAAGATTTATTTGCAAACTTAATAGAAGCTGTAAAAGCTGTCTATATAATTGTTGCGGACTAGAATATACGCGGCGATACAATTAGAAAATTTCCGTCTCAGTGTTGTATGAATATCTAGCACACAAATATAAGAGAAATAGAAAACATCAGGATTTTTACATGGAAAACCCTAAAAATGGAAAAAACCATGGGGCCGCGCCTAGTTGAAATAATTTCACTAGTATTTATTTGTAATACAAGAGGCTGATTCATCCTTAAAATTTAA